CAGGTAGAAAGCATAGTATACTTTATGAATATATAATCTCATGGGAAGGTTTTTAAAAAAACAATTATTGGTCCGGCAACATGATTTCTTTAGGCAGTGGTAAGGCCATACGGCTATTTTTTAAATAGGGCCCTTAGAATAGTGAGGAATCATTAAAAAATGGCTCCCTATGGTGAGCGCTGTAACAGTATAGTAGTATAGTGATTGATTGCTACTCTTAGTGATTCATCACTAGCGAATCACTAGCGAGACTGTCGTTGTCTTCCTTCCCAGGCGGATATATATATATTTTTGCCTGACGTTGTTGCTTTTGTACGACACCTGACCTGAACCCTTAAAATCCCAGTCACAGGACCTGCTCTTTAGTGTACTGAAGCCTGTCTGTGCTATTAACTTTCACAATGAACCTGACTAGAAGCCTCCTTGCAGTCTCCTGTCTGACACAGTAATTCCACAATTCCACAATATTTCAATGTGTAGCAAACATCAGGCATTATAAAAAAAAAAGACAGACGCATGTGGCAGACTGGAGTGAATCGGGGCTCCAGACGCTGTTACAGGTTCATGTTTTTACCGTACTCTGATGTTGGAATTGAAAGGAAAATTGCATATGTCTTGTAGGTAGTGTGACTTGGCTCTCCGATCAGGAGGTGCCGAGCTGAGATGAGAAGCCATGACAGAAATGTCACCGCTTTCACTCCTTGTCTGCGGCAGGTGCATTGTTCTCTGGCAACAAACGTTTAATAAGATGCTGGCGGAGCAAGTAAAGCTTAACATAGTGATCAAATGGCACTCGCGTGGAAGAGAGCTACCAATTACTACCACAATCCTCCTGCAAAGCATTCAAATGCAGCACTATCACTAAGCATACTGTGAATGTCAGTCAACCTGCGAGGATGGCTCAGCTGACAATGTCTGTACAGTTAATTATATTTTTATTGTACACTTTCTGGGGGGAAAAAAATCATTCATTTTGAATTGCAAGGATTGTGGAGTTGTGAAAAACTCCAGCGTAGGCTTCATAGGCCACCTCAGTTCTGACTGGACTGTGGTCAATGATGTATACAGGGCCCTCCTTACCATCCTTACCATCTTGTCTTGAATTGTATTGTAATTGTAATGTCTTCCTTATATTATAAAGCACTGCACAAACTGTTGGCGCTTTAGAAATCCTGTATTATAATAATAATAATAATACGTTGGCAGTGTCAAAGCATTGTGGAAGCAGCCATGCTGCTAAAGTGCTGGATGGCTATAACTAGAATTGGGGTTTTACACAGGGCCATAGTGAAACACCTCTAGGCCCCAGTATAAAATGTGAAACGAGCCTTGATAAGTGTCATTATGACACCAATCATACACTAAAATATCTCACAAGGTGATTTATGCTGTGAATTGGGATGAGCTTTGGGTACTGTATCTGGTCAGGGTCCCCAGCTGGTTTGCTTACAAACAAAAGCTGGCTGGGTATTTGTCATTTAGCAGGGGTAGTGCTACCACCGAAAATTGACAGATCCCCAGCTGGTTTGTTTACAAACAACTGTCAGCATTTCAGCTGGGAGAACTGGCCAATTTGGCCCATTTTATTCCGTGGTTTGCTGAAGGGCAAAGAGGCCAGGTTTGGGTCGACCAAACTGTCCCAAATCCCTGGAGGATCAGTCATATAGTGGACATTGTGTGGCGGTAGTGCTACCACCGCTATATGACAGATCCCAATGATTTGGGTGGGTGAACTGGCCAATTTGGGCCAATTTATTCCATGATTCGCAGAAACTAGAACAGACTGAGTTTGGATCTGACTCTTCTGTTTGCACTTTAGCAAAGTGGCCAGTTCGCCTGGGGAATTGTCATTTAGCAGATCCCTGGCTGATTTATTTAAAACAGCAGCTGGATGGAGATTTGTCATTTTGCAGTGGAAATGCTGTTGCAGCTGAATGATGACAAATCCTCAGCTGATAAACAAACCATCCGGGGATCATGGGTGACATCATTAACCAAGTATGGTCATGACCATGTTTGGTCAATGATGTCACTTAAGACCCTCAGCAAGTCTGTTTATGAAAAAAAATGGGGATCTGTTATTTATCGGCTGTAGTGTCAGGCACCGGGTCATCGTGGTTGCGGGGAAACATCAGCAGACAGGGGTCATCGTGATTAACAATGGATCATGATTGACGCTGAATTTATATTGTAAGACATTACTTACATTTTTTCAGCAAATGATGTTGTCAGGGTGTGTGTTTGTTTATTAACATTTCACCTTTTTTGGGGGAGTGACTAAGAAGGGGTATTAATGGGAGTGGATATCTCACAAACCCCCGACATCCTGTTTGTTTGAATGTGGGGATGAAGCTCTTGTGCCCTCAACATGGGGACAAGTTGCATTGCAAGGGGAAGCTTTACCGACCCCCCCATGCAAGCTAACCTTCCATTGTTGCAGGCATGTGGCCTGGTATGAAAGGTGTGTGTGTGTGTGTGTATGCATGTTTGCTGTCTTCTCTTTTCTAGCCACCCAGACTGCATGCTTGGATAAGGGTCTGGCAAGTGCACCCCATGATCAGCCGATCGCTCCAGTGTTTGTCCTACACAGAGAATTGGTACATAATACTGACACATACCAATCCTCTGCCGCTCGTCCACGCACAGGGGGGCTGCAACTTCTCTGGATCCCCCTGCTCTCCCGGGCGCCGGGCTGTCAGATCCTGGTCGAGGGTCTCTCTCTCCTCACTGCTCTGCATTAGTTAGTGACAGCGGCTCCGTCCTCCGCCCTCCCCCGTCCCTTCACTTCTTCTCCGCTCCCCGCTGGGGAGAGCAGCGGGGATCCAGAGAAGCGGCGGGAGGAGAGGACATGGCGATCTACCAGTGATCGCTACGCGATCGACTGGTAGATCGCGATCGACCTTGTGGGCACCCCTGCTACAGGTTATTTCTCTTTTTAATGTCACCTTCAAAGGACTACAAGAAACAGTATCATAACTTCAAGTGCAATAATGCCCCCTCCGCAAGCTAGTTAAAGGATATGTGAATTTTCCATCTTGCTCTTCAAGCTGCATAAAAGACCCTCTCTTGCATTGATATATCCATCATGGCACACGTATTATTATGCACGGGAACTTTTAGAAACCAGTGAGTCTGAGAGATGGTAGCTAAGGCTAAGCGGCCAAGTCCTGAACACTTTATTTATTTAGTTTATTATTCCTTAATCAGGGTGACAGAAGATGGTACAACCAGCGCATTTTCGGGGGACAGGTGTCTCTCTTCATCAGGACTTTGGAAACTGGGTGGAACTGCGTGACAAAAAATAAATGGGCAAAGTGTTACAGCAGTCAAGCGGAAAGTCTTAAGCTGAGTAGTGTCTAGATGTATGTGATAACAGTAGGGCACCAAGCACCTTTCCAATCCACATCTAGTATAAATGAACCCCTAAGTTGTCGTTCAACTGCGCAGTAAACACAAGTGGTAGGCCTGCCCTTGGTTCTGTGGCAAAAGAGATTCAGTCAATGCTTTATGGCACTTTTCCATTCTCACAATATTTATATAAGGGAGGCCAAATGCTGTTTCTCACTGACCAAGCGCTGGCTGTTTCAAAGGACGCGGTGTTCAAAGACCTGGGCCCCATCCTGTGAAAGATGTCTACAATGATGTCCGTATTCTTTTGACATTTCTGTGATTGTTACAAGCTTTGATATATAGCGACAATTGTTCATTTTTCTGTTCAACTCACTTAACAATTCAGGAGGTTACACTTGGCTGCGATCTATTTTTGGTTCAAGGCTTTAAGGCGGCTTTTGATTGTAGCAATAACTAGGCCTAAGTATGTTTGTGTTATTGTGTGCCATGTAAAATAGATGGCTTTCCTTGACAAGGCTCAGTAAGATTTAGCTCTGAAGTTTGCTGTCTGAGAATTAAGAATTTCCTGTATTTGACTATAGCAATTGTTTAGCCAATAAGAAGTGTTGCGGGACAGTGAGAGTGTCATTGTAGAAGTCTTCTTTTGAAAATGCTGGTTCCCTGATTAGCATTAGTGGCTTCAGAAAAGACCCCAGGATGTAATTGAATGCTTTCAGGACAACACATACCTGTGAAGATAAAGCTGAATACTTGCCTCTACTACTGGCCTGCGCTGCTCCAATGCAAAGAACTGGTCCCTTAAAATGTGCTGGGAAACCAAAACTTTTGAAAGTGTCGATCTTTGTGGTCCCCCACAACTTTCACTGGTTCCTTCCTCTCACTTCACATCACTACTGTATCCTACTGCGACATGGGGTCATAGGCAGGAACCAATGAGTGCAGCTGCGGAATGGCTTGCCTTGCTGTACCTGAGTGTTTGTGGAGACATACACAGCTCACTAGCACATACAAGGGTGGCTCCATAGGATCCTGCAAGGGAAAGCAGCCACCCTAAAACAGCATATCAGGACCAGTACTCAGGGGACCAGCTGATTCTGGAGGAAACTGAAACTTATAAACATCAAGAAGCAGCATCCATTTTAGGGATGTTCAGATACCATTTCAGATACTTGGCATTTCCACGAGAACTACCAGGGTTGCAGGAGTTGCAGCTGGGACCTAGCTCTGGCACTCCACCCCTGTCCTGAAATCATTAGTCTGTATTGTTTTTAAAAAACTGTCACATGACAATAAACAAAAAATGTATCAGTACTTGTATCTGTGAGGACTTGGACAAGTATCAGTACTTGGTCTGGAAAAAATGGTATCGGTGCATCCCTTATATATATATATTTATTTAAAAAAATCACACATTAAAACAGGGATGCACAAATCCAAGGATCCCCCGTATGCTCCTTAAAAATGTCAGCTGCCTCCTAACTTTTGAGTTTTTCTTGGTATACTTGGTATCTGAACATCCCTAATTGTAATTGATTTCATCAGCATTTGAAATAGCCTTTTAAACCTTTCACTTTAATATCACTATAAGTTATCACGAAGTAATATTTTTCTGACTTGACTTCTCTAACTTTCCACTTCTCTGTTTATAGGCCATTATCTATGAAGGGCAGGATAAGAATCCAGAGATGTGTCGGGTTCTACTCACACACGAGATCATGTGCAGGTAATGTATGGAATAAATCATTACAAAATCTTTTCTTGTGAAATACTGGGAATTTATAGTCTTATTCATTTTTATTACACCATTACTTATAAGATAAAGCAAAAGCTGGCCATGCATGGTACAATCTCTGTACAATCTCCTTCCTCTAAACTACTTAAATAGTGTAAATTGAGGGCCTGCCTAAATAATCACACTTAGTTGTTGGTACTGTAGATCAACGGTTCTCAACCTTGTTCTCAGTCATGGCACCCTTTTTTAAAGTATGCAAAATCTCGAGGCACTCCAGTCTAAAATATAAAAAATGTAAATGTAAAAAAACTGTGTGTGGTCCCACCAAAATCCATACCAGACCCTTATCCCAGATAGAGGTCTGGTTTGGATTTTAAGTGGGGACCCCATGCAAGAACACAAAAAAAATGAGCTTCCCCCATCATATCAGAATCCCCTCTTCAAATCAAGAGTCCCCACTTTTCACATCAAAGTTCCCTCCTTCAAATCAGAATCCCCCTTTACACTAGGACCCCCCCCCCCTTTCCAATTGATGCTCCCTCCTTCTACACCAGACTCCCCTCTCTCACTATCAGATCAGAGTTCCCTCTTCACATCAGGAGCCTACCTGCTCAATGGAAAGCATGACACTAAGCAAAAATTTACAGGCACCCCCACGGAAGCCAGAAGGCACCTTGGTTGAGAAAGGCTGCTGTAGATTGTACAGTTGTAATATATATGGTCCTTATATACACTGGCCTATAGTACTTTTTAAAATAACCTCTGTGAATTGTTTAATTCCATTATTTTTAAATGATCAATTTTTGTCCCAAACTGGGGATGAGCAAACCTTAGTGCTATTGTTTCCCTAAGATTTCTGCAAAATTTTATTAGTTATCTAAAATTCATTAATGTCAATAGGGAAGGCAGAGATCTGAAAATATTTTCAAGGGTTCCTCAAAAAGATTTACAAAGCCTGATTTAGACTGTAACATGTATGATCAGCTTGAAGGAGAATGTACAATCTGATTGCAATGTAATTGATCTGACTTGAAATCTGGTTGCGATGTGTTATGGCACTGAGCTTATCGCCATTGCACTTTGCACTGGGTAAGCCTGATCCGCTCATCCATAATTGAATGATAAAGATGCAATGCAATGCATCAGCCTGGCTGGGAAACACACAGCTGCGGTATGGACAGACAGGAAGGAATGGATGTGATTGATAGGCACTCAGCGCTCCCTCCTACACACACTCCTACACCCACACTGATACATCTATATTCTCCTACTGGGGTGGTTTACCCTGTTTATCTTCCTATCAGGTTACCTTACGGATGGTATGGATTTTTTCCCTTTATAAATACAATGCAGAGTAAAAAAAAGAAAAGAAAAAGGAAATAAATAAATAAAAATCCGCAGCTCACAGCAGGGGAATCATGAAGCCGTTGAAGGCAAATTATGTTATTTGTACAGTATACTTTAGACAGAAAAGCCATATTTAAAATGTCAGGCAGCTAATGCTGGAGATTACCATTTTCCGCGCTGCCTACAGACTGGTAAGAGATGCTGTTTATTTACTTAGCGGCCGGGCATTAAACAAAGCTGCCACTGGGGCGCGGGCACAATTATTTGTTTAACTCCTTCAGCCCTGGGATAAAAAGGTCAATCGGCGGCATATATCAGATACGAGCGGATAGAACGCTGTTTATTGTTTAAAGGGGAATTACAGGAAGGATATAGAAGTAATGTTTGGATTATGTGCTGCTTACCTTTTCTTCTTCTTGCTTTTTTTGTTTTTTAGCTTAAGATTCTTGTAGGAGCATTTAAAGAAGATCTAAGGAAAGGTTTATATTTGGGTCACCCATAGGGGCATATTTATAAAGCAGTGAATCTGACATTTATCAAATATTCACTGCAGGTGAACCTTCCAGGTTCAGTGTTTTAAAAGACAGCGCTTGATCACCAACAGGGAATGTTTGATGAAAGCTGCTTTATAAATATGACCCTTAGTGTCCCTGCCACTGCCGCAGGTGGAGTCTGCAGCAGTGGCACTGACTGGGGTGAGGTAGCCCAAGTGTGAATCTTTTTTAAAGATTGGAAATCAGTTTCTGCAGGTGAGGAGTGCAAATTTGCATGCCTTTAACCTTATTGTACCCAAAGGTCATTGAAGTCTATATACACAGGACAAATTTAGCAGAATCAGTTTGCATTGGTTGACTTGACTTTAACTAATTGGTTCAATGATCAAGTGAATACATTTTCTTAAGGACATATAAGGATTTTTTTGTGGCACACTGTTTTAATAAATACTTTTACTCTCTCTCTCTCTCTCTCTCTCTCTCTCTCTCTCTCTC